TCAGACTCATGCAGCACATGCAATGACACCAAAGGCAGGAAGAACAATGGCCAGTGGGTGGAAAGTCTTGTGGATCCAGCGGCGGTGGAAGCATCTCAGCACTGGCGTGGGTCACCACGTGCCTCCTCCAGCTTCAGGGCTCTGGCTGAGGCTACATCAGTGTAGCTCCACATGGATGGTCAACAGGAAGGTGAACTAGAGAGTCTGTGTGTATCTGGCCTCTTGTGAGCTATTTTTCTCCACGGCACCTCCAAATAAGTCATCAAGTTGCGAACTGATTGACAGGCTGGACTCCACCCCTTCGCAAGTTGACACCAGATCATGTAACTACCCCGGCCTTATACAGTCTCCAGCCTGTACATTTCCAAGCCCCTCTCTACACTAGAACTTTACCTCCCTCCTTTCTCCTCTGACCCCTGTTAACGATTAAAGCCTGCTTCTTTTGATATGAAAATCTTTGATCTTGATTTTTCTTTTATAATAGTGTTCTCATAAATATCTGTCCTTCTGCAATTAACCTAACTTCATTTGGCATAATCGTCTGAATGCAACCAATGCAGGAGGTATTAGACAGTTTTATCATTCTTTTTTAGTGATGCATAGTATTCCGTTCTCTGTATGTACCAAGTGTATTTGTCCATTCTGCCACTGATGGGCCTAGGTGGTCTCTGTCTTCTTGTTATTGTGAATAGCACTGTGATGAACCTGTGTATGTATGTATCTGTTCATGCTATGGCTCTTATTTTGGGGGGGTATATACCAAGTAAAAGGATGGCTGGATCTTAGGAAATTTCTATTCCCAGTCGTTTGAGGAACATCATACTACTTCCCTCCAGTGTGTTTTATAAAAAGCGAAAGAATGGTTTTGTCATCTCCTGGAAGAATTGAGGTGTGTGTGGGGAAAATTCAAACTGGAGAGCCCAGAAGATACAGGAAGCAGGAGTGGCAGAGAGGGAAAAGCCAACATCTTTCTTGAATTATTTATTTATTTTAGTTTGGTAGGAAAGGATTTCGACCTTGTGAAATCCTTCTTTCACTTGTGAACCAAATGGACATCAATGTGTTCTTCATCTGTAAAATGGAAATAAGAAATCGATGTACAGTATTGATCTCTTCTAGAAGGCCAATTACTAAGCCTTTTCTCATTTAATCCTGAGAAGATGTATGGATTGTGGCAATTAAAACCCCAAATTACCAATGAAAAATGAAGCACAGAAAGATTAGCCATCTTCTCCAAGTTTCCTAGGCTAGGAAATGGCTGAGCAATTACAGGGAACCCCATGTGTTTGACTACAAATCCATGACCTTATTCTATGTAGACTGAAGAAAGTATAGGAAATTATGAAACTCCTAGTATATATATACCAGCCAAATACTCAGCAGTCAGTAAATGCCCAGTTTTCTTTTCTGTAGGTTGTGGGGATAGCACAGCATTTAAAAATATAGATTTTGAGTTCAAATGGTCAGGATTCAGAAATCCTCCCCAGTGCTCACTTAAATATGTGGCCTTGGGCAAATGTCTCAATCTCTCTAGGCTGCAACTCAAGTAGAGTAGACATTCTGTCGCATATAAGCTGGGAATAATATTCAATCCAGTGTGCAGTGTTTGTGGTCATCCAGTGGGATACGGTGCTGAACGTAAATGGCCTGTCTCGATGGAACTCCCTCAGAGTGTGCAGTTAATCAATGTTATCATTGCTTCCAGGTCTGAAGGCTTAGGAACCATGGACAGGAAGCCCAAAGAGATACTTTTCTGGCTGGGGAGAAGCCATGATCTCAAAGGTGGCTTTCCCAGGGTGTGGTGTATCCATTGCACGCTGGGTGTGCTGACCCCTGGGATTTCTCCAAATGTGGGAAACTCGAATGCATAGTTTGTGATCCTGGGGGACAGTGTTCATGCTTTCCCTGATTTTTTTTTTTTTTAAGAAACCGAAAGAGAAGCTATTATAGCAACCTACATTATCTCATGTTGTTTCCACCAAAACAAACGTTTCTGAAGTGGATGCACATTTTCCCTCTCTTACATGTGATAGTCTAAGAGTTGTTTCTTTATGACTGATGGTTTTCACTTGTCCAGTGTCCAGAGCTGGTCGGTGAGGGGCTGGAATGGACACTGAGCAGGTCAATGTGCAACATTGGTTGTGATCTCTGTGTTAAGAGTCAGGTTTTCCCCTCTGCCTGATAAGAGTTCTCCACATTGGTGGCACAGCAGATCAAGAAAATGCCCTTAGTTGCTTAACCGCCATTCAGAACAGTTGAAAAATGGTTGCAGGAATCAAGTAGATAGTTATTAAACTGTCACTGTTTTTTAATGACAACACTTACGAAGAACATGTGTGATGCCCAACATCAAGGGAAATGAATTGTGTCCTTGACCCCAGTAGTGCTCTGGACAGGCAGAACAAACCAATCCCAGAGAGGAAGGAGTGTCACTCTGCTCTCCTCCTTTCTCCCACCTGGCACGTGCTAATCAGACATCAATGAATCCTGTCCTGAGCTGTGTGAGTGAACAGAGGAATGAGTGAAGGCTGGAGAGAAGCCAGGGATGTCACTGTAACAGAGCTACCTCCGTAAGAAGCCCCAAACGAAACCAAATTGCCCCTGAGCCCATTGTGACACACGAAGACCTTCTACCAAAAAAACCAAACTCACTGCCATTGAGTTGATGTTGACTTATAGTGACTCACTGGGGGTTTCTGAGACTAACTGTTGAAATCCCAGCCCTTCTCTGTTAGAGCTGCTAGTAGTTTTGAACTGCTGACCATGTGGATCGTAGCCCAACTCATAGCCATTACACTACCAGGGATGTAGTCCCTGTAGGACAGAATATATCCTCCTTGGGATTTCTAAGGCTGTAAATCTTTATGGGAACAAACAGCCTCATCTTGTACCCAAGGAGTGATTGATTGGTTTGAACTGCAGGCCGTGTTAGCAGCCCAACACTCAACTCACTCTTCCATCAGGGCTCCATCTACAGCCCAGTTAGGGAGTTACCATCCCAGCTGTTTGCTCTGCCACACTCATGGGATGATCATCCAGGTGTATGACTGCCCCCTATCCCGCAAACAGGACTGCTCCCAGCAACATCAGACCTCTCCACCAGTACCAACTCCGGCTTCTTGTCCCCACCCCACCCCCTGCTAGACCACAGGGAGACAACATTGCAGCATTCATCTTATCTCCAGAAAACTCTGAAACAGGTCAGGAATGTACAACTTTTCCTATAATGCTACTAGATACCCAAATCTGAAATTCAGTTTCTATTCTATTTTCCATTCCAAATTATGTCCAGCCACATTGTTCGACACAGCCTTTCAGAGGTTCTGCTTGAAGAGTAAATGACAGAGAATAGGCTAGAATGCTGATAATATACACTGAAAAAAAAACACTCCACTTCCTAGCAGTCGATTCCATCCCATTGTGACCCTGTAGGATCGAGCAGAACTGCTCCATAGGTTCTCTTGTGGAGCAGCTAGTGGCTTCCGCCTGCCAACCTTTCCATTCGTAGCCCAATGTGGAACTCCTTTGTTGAGCGGTGCCGTGAAATTGGTTCCGAATCACAGCGACCCATTGTGCCGCCAGACGAGATGCTGCTCAGTCTTGCACGATCTCCACAGCCCTGTGTTTGAGGGTCGTCCACCTCGTTGAAGGTGTCCCTCTTTCTCATTGACACTCTGCTTTATTACCCAGTTACCAGTCGCATAAGGAGAAATTAAAGTTCAAATGTTAAGAAATGGCAGATAATTAAAGCCCAGGGTGATTAAAATCCAATCCCCAAATAAATGAAGTTGAAAGTAGAAGTCTACAGCTTTAGGGGATTAAAAGTGAAAAAATGGACACAAAGAAGTTTCACAATTGATTTGCCGCAGCATTTGGTTCTGCTTGGTCTCAGACAGAGGTGTTCCTGAGACCTGAGTACCACTGCTGCTTAGACTGCCCCCCTTAGACGGTTTCCTTCCGCATCTCAAGAATGGACCATGTTTCCAAAGAGTTGAGAGAGAACGAAAAAGCATCTTCACCTTGGCCCCACATCCATGGCGTGAGAAAACAAGCGAATCTCAAGCACTAATGAAGCTGTTCCCCGGATCAACACTGTACTCAGCCTGATAGCAAAGCTGAGATTCCGTGTAGCCAGTGAAAGCGAGCCTGCAAAGAAAGTTCTGGTGTCTGCCTTCCCAGGATTCAACTTGTTCTTTACATACAGGCTGTGGCCTGTGGACCGTGTTCCTTTGTGAGAAAAAAATCCATCAAGAGATTTATTTTGCAACCATCTTTGCCTTTTGAAGGAAGAAGTTTCTCCTTAGATGCATTGTCTTCTCCCATAGAAAATGACGGCAGGGCATTCCTGCCGTCTTGCGAATGTAAAGATGTAGCATGGTGGCAAGCTGGGGCATCGAGCTGTCCATGAGGGTTGCTTGTGGTTCTCAAAGGGGAGAACCGGCGTCTTTTGAAATGATGGGCTTTCCTGGCAGACGACAGTCTCCTGTGCTAATGTCTTTTTGTTTCATATTTAACAGTCCCACATCTGTGGTCTCTCGTCGCTGATTCACTGTGGTCCACCAGGTGTTGACCATACTATGAAACTTTAACTCTGTGAAACATGTTTTCTAGGGAAGATTTCCCCTGAAATCCAAAATCCGTGCCAACTGGAGTCTAGGAAGAATCCCTCAATGGTGAATGTCTTGGGCACCTACTAAGCTTATGACCCTTTCCGCTGCCCCGGGTTCCTCAGCTCTGGGAGCACCTGTCTGGCCACCTGGACTCACAGCAGCATCAGCTGGCCTTTGGGAAGACTGGGGGTTTTCTAACAGTTTAATCCTTTCTTTAACTTGGTCTCTTTTCTTTTCTAACACATATGAAACTATTTGCTGGATCTAGGACCCTCCCCCCTTCCCCTCTCATTTTGACTTAAAATCAGACATTGATTTTCTCAGGAAAAGGAATTTCTTTTCAAAGCTATGTATTTAAATGTTTTTATGAGACAATCTTATCACCTCCAAAGCATTTTCCATTATACGTAACACATTTGTCAAATCTGCCATGCCATTCTGGGAAACGTTTTTCAAACTCATGTTTGGATAGCTGATAGCACTTCTCTCATTTTTTTTTCTTCACCTCTTAAACGTCATCAAATCGCTCTCCTTTCATGCCCCTCTTCATTCTCAGAAGCAAAGAGAAGTCAAGCGTCAGGTGTGTGGGGCAAGAGAGGTGTGCTGGTTTTTGCCAAAAACTGACACACTGAGATGGCTGCATGAGCAGGTAGGCTGCGTGAGCAGGTACATGGTTGTGGTGGCAAAACCAGTCCCCCATTGGCCACAAATCAGGCCTTTTTTTTTTTTTGTCAACACTCTTACACAGTCTTTTCAGAACGTCTAAATAGAAAGCTTGATTAACAGTCTGACCTGGTGGAATGAACTCCAAAGGCACAATGAAGTGACATTTTCATCTGTTCGGGAAGTTGGCGGATGCCCATGAAGAGGGTTTTCGTCAATCGACATTTCACCTTTGTTGAAATGAGAAAACTACTCTTTCACTTGATTTTTTTCCCCATAGCACTGTCTATGTAAGCTGTGTTCAACATTACAACAGTTTCTGCAGCATTTTTCCCGTGCAGGAAACAAAATTTCACAGACCCCCGCTGTTGTTTTTAATCGGCCACCAGCAAAAAAGGGTTCGAGCAAAACTGCTTATACAAAAAAACTCACTGTGACCAGAGAGAACCTTTCTAGGCGACACCACTGGGTTGCACTAACTCAGAGCGAATTGCTTGATGCTCACCTCGTGGGAAACATGCATACTATCAAAGCTCCATTCTGCCCAGCACGATTCTGGGGTTTTTTGGCTATGCCCTCGCATAGTGAGAAATATGAATGATGAGTTCTGGATATACCAGAAAGTTCTACTTTTCAACGGAATCTGGTGGGCTGGATTGGCTTCCTAGTGCTACTGGAACAAAGCATGACCCAGTGGGTGGCCTCCACGACAGACTGGTGTCGTCTCACAGGTCTGGGGGCTAGAAGTCTCCAATTCCAAGTGTTCTCTCCAAAGACTCAAGGAGAAGGTCCTTCCTTGGCTTTTCCGGCGGGTAAGCGCCCAGGTGTTCCTTGGCTTGTGGCAGCTGAACTCCAGTATCTGCCTCCATCCTGGCTGTCTTCCCTCTGCTGCTCGGTGTCTTTGCCCTTGATAAGGACCAGTCATGTTGAATTAGGGCCCACACTACTTCCATGTGAATTCCCCTTAGTTCTAGCTGCAAACACCCCATTCCCTTCACAAGTACCAAGGGTGAGGACTGCGCCGTATCTTCTAGGAGGCACAATTCAGGCCATCAGATTGGCCTCCTTTCGCCTGAACTGGGAGTCTCAGATAAGAGATCTCCCATCGGATGAGCATAGAAGCTAGACCTGCACTTGATCCTTACTGCCCTCCCTTTTCGCCTCATCTCTATCTTCTCTTAAAGTTCTAATCTCATAAATTCCCCAAGAAAGCCTCTTGGGGCACAGGAAATACTTGTTTCTATGATGTCAAAACTCACCTGAGAATTGGCTTAATGGCAGTTGGTTCTTTCTGTTTTGGCTCATCACTCTTTCAGGAAGCCCTGAGGTGTAATGGGTTATGTATTGGGCTGATATCTGCAAGGGTAGCAGTTCAGGCCTAACAGCTTCTCTAAGTAAGAAATACGAGGTTTTCTGTCTCATAAGATTTACAGCCTCTAAAACCCAGAGGGGCGATTCTAATCTGTCCCTATAGGGTTGCAGTGGGTCAGAATCAACTCAGAGGCAGTGAAAAATGGCAGTGAATTGTCAGTGTGTTTGAGTCGCCCATTCTGAACACTAGCCAAGAAAACCTCTTTCTCCCTCTCTGATCCCCTTTATAGGGACAGATTGATAGCGGGGCATCTCCTCTCTTTCA